ACTCAATCTAAACACCACAACGTTATATGTCTGTTCTTCTAGAACAGTGGTGGCAACCCTACGGCATGCATGCCATGGTGCAGCTTGTCATCACTGAAAGCTCTAAAATGTTCACCATCACTCTTCTAGAATATCAAGGCCAAGGACAACCAGGGCCAAGGTTTTAAGTCTCTGTGTTTGAGCTCCCAGCAGTGATGATTTTAGCCACTAAACTCAGAGAAAAGATGTGCCTGACTAACACTTTATTTAAGACTTAATAACCTTTAACTTTTAGGGGTCACTTGTGGTAAGATATGAGGCATTTACAGAAAGTGGATGAATCTAAGAGAGTAGAGCCCTAAAAGAAGTTCACATGAAGTAGGTGAGCTAGTGGCACAGAACTCCAGAATGCATTCCCCAAACTACGAGCAATGCTAAGGCTGTGATGGAAACACATACGAGGGGGCAGAATGGAATCCAGGATACAGCCAGTGGTCAGTGTGTTTGTCTACTGCAGAAGAGAGCTAAGGGTCCCAGGCATTCTTAAGTGCTCTTGCCTCTAACTGAGGGGCAGGGAGGGACAGTGAAAGGGGAGAGGCTCAATCCACAGGGGCTACACAGAGGCTAAGCAGTGACCACGTAAGACAGGATGAGACTCACAGAAAGGAAAAGAAGGTGGAAGGGAAAAACGACTGAGAAAGGAAAAACCAAAGAATGATTCCTCAAAAGAGGCTTAGAAGGAATTAATTCAACAACTGAGAAAAAAAAAAATGCAGCTGAAGAGAAAAAGCAGAGAAAGAACCAGAAAGTCCAGGGCTCAAGAATAATGAGATATCATTCTCATGCCAGTTACTTAACAGCGTAAAAGTCAGAAATCACTGCAAAGAAATTATTCTCAGTTATATGTTAGGAATAGCAAAATGTATTTTAGTTACTGTATAATATTTGTTACTGTTACCCAGATCTGTTGGTCCATAAAGTACAAAGTTTTATTCTCCTAGCAATCATTCTTCATTTTACAGTTCCAGGTAAAATGTACGCTCCTCAAGAAGGACTTACATGTGCACTAGGAGTTGTTGGCTCATTCACCTGCCTTCATTTCATCCATTCCATTGCAGGGCCAGACACTCAGACCTACAATCTCAGCAGTGGCTCTAATTCATTATCTTCCTCATCTTTGGGCACTGAATCATGCAGGTTCTACTTTTAAACTGTCTTTAAAATCCATCTTACTTCTGTCCTATTCTCTGTCCTCTGGACCGTAAATGTATACAAAATCTAACTTGAACTTCTCCCCTTCAAATATCTACTGCAGCCAGCGAAGACCCTTGCCACCTGTGATTTCTCCTGAGTCAGAGCACCCACTGCCACTCTAATATTTGAGACCTTAATTGCTCTGGCACGTTGTTTCAGGAAACACAAACAAGCCTGGGCATGGTGATGCATGCGTGTAATCCCTGCACTCTAGGAGCCTGTGGGAGGAGGATCGAAAGTTTGAGAACAGCCAGGGCAATTTAGTGACTAGGGAGAACCTGTATCAAAAATTTAAAGTTTAATAAAGGACTAGGAATGCAGAACAATGCAATGACCAGTACCACGAACAAGCAAAGACTTTTCTGCCCTTAGACCTTAACCTGGGATTTTCTTCCCCTTGAATTCCAACAGCCCATTGTTCAGATAAAAATGCCTCCTATCCTCAAAGACTTGTGTAAAATACTACCTATGTTTGAAGAGCTTTTATCCACACCACTGAACCCCTTTCTCGATGAAATCCTCATAGAAATGTATTACAGGCATCTGGTATTTCTCTACGTCTCCACTCTACAGTGAGCTGCCATGGAGTCCTCATATTTCCATCCCCTTTGTCTCAGTCACTGTCTCACCTCTGGGGAAAATACCTGACACCCACAACTTACAGGAATAGAGGTTTCTTTTGGCTCCTGTTTTCCAGCTCTAGTTGGCTGGATCCAAGGCGGGATGGGTACAGTGGAGGAGCCCAGGCGGAGAAATAATGCTCCAAATAGGGATCAGAGAGAAGCAAGGAATCGGGAAGGAGATAAATGCTTCAGGCCATTCGCACAGTGACCAGACCCCACCTCCCAACAGGAAGTCAGCTGTGTCACCCTCATGACTCACTCACTTTCCAAAGCCCCATCTGTGAGTGCATGAGGCCGTTGAGCACATTCTCAAACTAAACCATAGATGGTTCAACAGCTAACACACAGTACTTCATAAGTGTTTGTTAAGTTGAATGCACTTAGCTGTTCCCTATTACTAAAACTGAACCTTTTAAGTGACATATTTCAAAAGAACTTTTAAAATATTTTAAAGAAATTGATTTTTTTCTTTTTAGTAATCATAGTTGTTCATGGGGTTACCCAGGGCTGCTTTGAAAATACCAGATGGAAGTTTTTTTTCATGCAATCAAGCAGTTTGCTGTTCTAAAAGGCGTCGTGTATACACAGAACAACCACTGGGCCAGACCTTTCTGCTAAGGAAACTTGAGGAAGATCATGTGCCGTGAACAAGTGACCACTAGAAGAAACAGACTTTCACTGGAATGAACATAATCACTTTCAACCAGCGCAAACCAAAATAAGTACATTTCTTATGATTCACAGTATGAGAATCGCAGTGGAGTGCACCTTAAAAGGCACAGTGTATCTACCACAGCTGCTGCTGCAAGGCAAGACTCAAACAGTTATCCTTGTTTGACCTTTGGGGCCTTAAGTCAATAACAGACCCAGACTACATGAAATAAATGACACCACTTTCACTGGATCAAATGGCCCACAGCCTCTAGGATAGGCTATCTTTTTGTCTATCTGTCCACCCATCTGCCTGGCCATTCATCCATCCATCTATCCCAGAGCGCTTCTTATGCAGCTATATAATAGTAGCATGTTATACACACATACACAAATTGATATGACTAGGCACTCACTTCATTTCAGACACTATTCCATGTGCTGTCCATATGTCAAACATTCCAAAAATTGTCTAATGTAGTTACTGTTAATATTCCCATTTTACAGATGAAAAATCAAGGCTTGGGCTGTTTAAGTAATTGCTCACGTTCATACAGCTGATGGGGTCATGACTGGACTCTTGAAATTTCCCCCCAAGTTCTATGCACATCACAACATCATGATGTACTATAAGTGCAGGATTATACTTTCTTTGTGGCACAGACATTACTCTATTTCTGGCAGGGACCTATGGGGTTTACCTCAGAAGCAAAGGTCTAAATGCACATACAAATATGGAATCTGCTACATCTTCATACTAGTTACGAAGCTAGAACTCTTTCTGGAAAACAGAATTGAGAAGTTAAATCGAAAGCACAGGACAATTTGGTAAGGAGGCCCATGCACTGGGTAAATATCTCTTCTGGCCTGGCAAACATGGTGAGAGCATTGTAGAAGTATATTCTGTACAAGGTCTTGTCAAAAACAACAACAAAAAAGCCTCTATGGGCATTGGCTTGCAAGGCGAGAATTATTTCATTCAGCCTTAAAATAAAGAGTTTTGCCCCTACAGAAATGCACAAAACCAAACATAACTATGCATGACTCAGTACTGCAGTTAGCATAAGGAAGGAATGGAGTGACTAAGACTTCAAGCAAACGACCAACCCCTTTCCAAGGGAGGAGAAACCCCAAAGCTCCCCTCTGCATAGCTCCACAGAAAGGCCCCAGCTCTGGTCCTCAGAGGGGCAAGTCACCTCACGGCACTCGCGGGTTTCGCCCTTTGAAGGCCACTCCTCGCCTCTTTGTGTTCTGATGAAACAACAATAGAAAAAGCCCAGGAAAATTTGTTCAAAACTCATGCTATTAAGGAGGCCCTGCCAGAGGCAATGAAAGCCAGAGAAGCTGGGTAGCAGTTGAATTTGGAATGAAATATTAGAGGTCACCCAGCTTTCCTTCCAAAGGGCTACCCTTAATAATTCTGCAGCTCATGGGCTGATAAAGTTAAAACAGCAAGCTGTGGCAACCAGTGCTCTTAAAGTGCCAGGTAAGGAAACCACACACATGCACCTGTGCACATGCAAATTACTTCTCTGACTGTTTTCTCCTCTGCCAACGGCCCGAAAATGAAGAACTCTCACAATACATCCCTGGGCCCAGCCACCAAGAAAAAGCATTTCGCCATAAACTCGGTTTTGATCTCTCTGTTACTGTTGGATGTCTCAGTCCTAGCTTCATCGAGGGTAAAATAAGTTACTACTTTTCCATACTATTTGCCAAACCTTCCTTGGAAGGCCTTGTGTTGTCCTTTTGCTAATGGAATTCTTGCATCTTTCACAAGGAACTAACCCAGGCTCTTGGCCTCAAATCAATGACCCTTTCTAATATCAGGACCTGAAGCATTTCCTTAAATGCAAAGAAAATGTGTTTTCTACCTCACTCTTACAAAATTCCAAATTTCTGGGCAGCTCCAAAATTCAGCAGCTAGAACAGTACAAAAGCAATAGCTTCAAGGTAAATGTTCACCTGATTATTTTTTCTGTGTTATAAGTTTCATATGCAGACCCTTGTCTGTGAATTATATCCCAAGTGTGGAAGGTCAAATCAGAGTTCAAAGACAAAATCTGCCCCCCTGGAATTGAGAAAAATAATACCCTCCACGTGTTTCCAAGGTGAAACTAAAGCACAGCTCTTGACCTCCAAACTTTATGATTAATATTCTTGATGAGGATAGGGGGCTCGAAAAATAACTCCACTTGCAAAGACACTGGGGAACTTAGAATAAGAAATTCAAATAGAGGCAAGTGAGGATTAGAATTAAGTGAACCAAACTTACAAGTTTTATATCATCTAAATTTGAATCCCAAGTGAGAGAAAACTATTGCAATAAATACTGCCAGAATTGTCTGGCAAAAAAAGTATGACCTCGGCTGACTGCAGTAACTTTCGTGGTGTTTATCTGAAGCGAGTCTCCGCCCTGCTCTCTCCTAAAAAGCAGTAGAAGCCTCCCCAGGAAAAGCTGACCTCCCTTCAGGGAGGCAGCCCCTGCCTTACCTGCGCAGGTCTTCCCGTCGTAGGTCTCGCACACCCACTCGTGGCATTCGCACAGCGGCCCGAAGTAGGTGCCTGGCTCGGTCACGTGGCAGATGCAGACGCCGCAGTCGCACCGGCCCCGGCCGTGGCACAGGGCGCTGCCCGGGGGCTGCCCAGGTGCGCGGCACCGGCGCTCGGACTCCGCCCGGGACAACCTGCAGGGGGCGCCCGACCAGCTCCTGGAGGGCGAGCGAGACAGAGCCAGGCCCGGTCAGAAGCAGGAATTCATTGCTCCTTCCGCTCCCAGCCCTTGTGTCCTCCCCACGGCCACCCCACATGGAGAAGTTCAACCCCACGGAGAGCAGGCCTGAGGCCTAGGGGGTCCTCTGAGGGTCACATGCACCCTGCAAGCGTGTGTTTCCCCAGACTCACAGGTACCATCCATGCACCTGAGAAATCACCAGGGCTTCCTCCAGGGCCCCTGGCAGAGGGCATCCAGCCCTGCCCCTCGAGGTTCGCCCCTGAATCTTACATGCACAGGTAGGTTAAACACAAACGAATCCAAAGCATGAAACTCGGCCCACTTTTCGGTCTTCTTTTTTTTTTTTTTTCCTCCGGTACCAGGAACCGAACTCACGACCTTGCGCTTGCCAGGCAGGCGCTTTTGCCGCTGAGCTAAATCCCCAGCCCCTCGGTCTTCTTTTTTAAGAGCCTCACTGCTATTTGATGGTCAGGGGACGGTTATTTCATATTTTTTTAAAAGGGAGGGATGAGTATACAGAAAACGTTTCATGTTTATATATAAAGTATACATATCGCTATCATAGGGCATAGTGCTTTTATTTTAATTTCACTAAGCAGTCTTTATACACTCCAGAAAAGTTCAGCAATTGAGATGCACCACAAATTCTCTTTCAGAATAGAACCCAAAATGTAATAGAAGCCTCAAGAAGATGAAGCTGGGGAGCGGAAACAATACAGCACCTGTCAGCTGGGAGGTCACACAGGTAGGTACCTGTAAGTGCAGCTCTTCACTCACGAGAGAAATCCCCCGAACGTATTTGCAGAGGGAGAAATGATGTTTTGTGCACTCACTGCACTTTTCCAGAGGAAAAGCAAAAGAACAGAGAGGGAGCAACACCCCGGGTGAACAGAAGCACAGAAGCAAGAGGCTGGAGACAGTGTATCCCGGGTGCCGCTCAGCGCCGACTCCCGGCCTGGGACAGGCGTCGCCCCGCTCCCTGGAGCAGGGTCCGCCCGCCTGGACCGCAAACCGGGCTCACCTGAGAGAGGGCGAGAAGCTCTGCGGCGGCCCCGCCGACAGCCCGGCGAAGAGGAGGGGCGGCAGCAGCAGCCAGAAGTCCCAGAAGCCCGGGGCGCGCATGCTGGGCTCGGGCTCTGCAGGTGCGGCCGGGCGGCGGCAGGAGCGCGCGGTGGCGGGGCAGGGGGACCCGCGGACGCCGCCCAGGTCCCGGCTCCACCCGCAGCCGCGAGGCCAGGAGCCGCCCGCGAGTCCCGGGCAGCGGCAGCGCTCTGGGCGGGGTGCGGGCGCCAAACCCCACAGTGGAGAGGCTAGGCAGAGAAGTAATTAGAAACAGTTGCACAAGCAGATGGTTTATTTTGACATTAAAAAAAAAAAGTCCTGTTCACGGATTTGAGAAAATCGTTTCTTTCTTCAAGTACAGGCCCCAGAAGCATGGACAGGAGAGCATTTGGGCCGGCTGATAGCAGCGGGAGCTTAGGAAGTATCCTGCAGACAGCGAAGACCCCCTGGAGGCTTGGGCATGGAGTCACCCCCACCAGCTGGCTTCGAAGGAGATGCCGGGTCTGGGGTTTGGGGTTTCCGTGTGAGAGGTGGGGGACGAACAGCACCGGGCCCCACAGCGTTTTCTGGTGGGCATTGTGCTTTGTTGTAAACGGTGCGTATCTTGTTTCTTAAGTCTCTGAGAGAGAGTATCATGCTTCCAGTTACTCAGGCCAGTCCCTTATCACAACACATTTTTCCTCGAGTTGCACAGTTTAAACTGTAGTTCTCCCAAAGTTACCTCATCTGCCCCCTGTATCGAGTGAGGAAACAAAATAAAATGTGTACGTATGGAGAAACTTGCACGGGAAAAAACTAATGTCGCTTCTTATTCACCTATTTAATAACCAGCCACTTACTATATTTGATCTGGTTTTTGTTTTGTTTTGTTTTGTTTTCTTGTTGTTTGGTTAGTTAGTTGGTTGTTTGTTTTTTTTTTTTCTGTTGTTGTTGTTTTCTTTTGTGCTTTTTTTGGGGGGGGTGATGCCAGGGATTGAACCCAGGGCCTTTGCACTGGGCTACATCCACACACACACCCCTTGTAATTTTTATTTTTTTTTATTTGGAAGCAGGGTCTTACTAAGTCACCATGTTCCCCAGTCTGGGCTCAAGATTTCAACCCTCCTGCCTCAGTCTCCCAGAGTTCTGGGATTACAAAGACATGTCACTAAATTCAGCTACACAGTACTTTACCAGCTACACAGCTATTAGGGCAAGGTTCTGTGCCAGAAGGAGGGGACATAGCAGAGAGGTAAGGAGAATTATGCAGTGTGCTATGACATTAATCAAAACAAAAAACCCCATAAATATGAAAGGACAAATGAATGCAGAAAACACATGTTCTAGTTAGATAAAGTCACTGATCTCATCGAAGAAGGTGGCATTGGGCTAAGGGAAGAAGAGAATTAAATTAAGTGACAATAGGAAATGGGTGGAAGACAGAAACCATTCTGATTTTACTTCCGCTTTAATGACAAAGACATGGAAAGCAGAGATTAACAGGCATGAGCTCACTCACAGAGGGGTTTACTGGGAGATCTGAGTTGAAATCCCCCAGACGCGCAGTGCACACTCCTGTTACCCGCACTGTGTGACCATGTGGGAGGTGTGTGCAGGGGTAAATGGACGGAAGAAACTGTTCTTCACTCACTCTAGGAAGAACACTTCAGATGCAATGGTTCCTCATGAGATGGAGGAACCCAAGAATAGTGGTTCTGCAGCTTTATAACCAGGAAAAATGGAACTTCTCCCTGTCATCTACATAGATACATAAAGGACAAGACCAACCAGCATTGCCTTAAGAAGATAAATGAAGGTCCCCTGCCCACAGCCCATGCCTTTTGTATTGCTACCCTGGTCAGCACCTGTACCAGTAGGGTTTACACAGGCGTGTCCCTGCATCCACCCGGACCCATACAGCTAGACATTTTCCAATAGCTGTCCCGTTGTCGGACTTTAACCCAGGTGTGTGCACATTTGTGAGGGGGTCTTCAAGGAGCAGGACAGACCAGCGACAGGTGCACAGTCCTGGGGCTGGAAGGTGTCAGAGCTGGAAATTCTAGGGTCTCTGACTTAGAAACAAGGACTCCGGCTCTGGGTTGGTTCAGGGTCCCTGGGTCAGATACAGTAATCCTGTAGAAAGGGTTCTTTGTGAAGGAGATATACAGTGAGAGTTTAGCAGTTCAGAGAAAGGGAATGAAAGTGTGTGGTTCTTAAAGCAGAGTCCGCAGACCAGTGGCATCAGTACAACCTAAGACCTTCTCAGACCCTACCCAGATCGACTGAACAGCAGGGTGCATTTAAGTGAGATCTCAAGAAATCTACTTGCACATCAAAATGAGAAAAGCTTACAAACATAGGACCCAGGGCTGAGGCTGAGAGTCCTCCAATCTGAGAGCAGTATTTCTCCTTCTAGGACTTCTCCTTGCTTTCCTTCCTGGCCATGTGCACTGCCATGAGAATGCAGCTCTCCTGCCAACAGCAAGAAACCTTGGTGACTCAGAGAACAGGGCAGTAACAGAAGAGAAGCACTAATTCCAGAGCCCGACCAGGAATCTGCAGTGAAGACATGGAGTTTTCATAAATGAGTCACATATTGTTTGCTTTAAATCACTGTAAAAGAAGAACATTTCTTTCATGGATTATAATTTTTTTTGTCCCATAGCATGCAGTATAGTATCCAAAGAGCAATATTCTTTCTCAGAGTATGCAGCTGTGAAGTAGAGATAGCATACATCAGATAATGGAGAAAATTTAAATATGTAGATCATCGCATTACTGTGATTTAGAAATGATGTCCCCATAAGTGGAAATAGTTGTGCTGTCACTGGCTTGGTGACTTGGTAGAAAGTCTTGGGTCTACAGAAACTCTGTCAAAATAAAAGGATAGTTCGAAATTTTATCAAACCTTGAACTTTGATTTTTCTTTTAGCAGAGTATGACTTTTCTTCTGCCAAAGTATTCAATCCTTTGGAAATACCTGCCTTCTCCCCTGCCCTAGTTTGCAGGACCTCAAGGACACACCTGCTGTGTGGCCGCCCTGAGTGTCTCGTCTCTCCAGACTGGGAGGACCCTGAGTCATTTCTGGGCAGTGTGTGAGCCGGCTGCCCAGTGCATGTGGAACCACACTCCAAGAAGTTGAAAACATCTTAGTCCTTGAAAGTAGCCCTTAAGTCCTTAGGTCTCAAAATTATACAATTTCAAGATTCAAGAGATATTTAAAGGCTATTTCCTTCAAAATCAAATTTGATGGCAACATATAACATATCCGCCAAGGGACTAGGTAGACTTGATAAGAAAACCAAGAGTGAAGAGAAACACACCCTTTTCTGAGAGCCGTGCTGACATGCTCCCTCTTTGGCTTCTGGTCAACTCCAAGAAGACATTCAAATGAATATGCTGGGCACTACGGTTGATCCAAGGACTTTACAATATGTTATCATCTTCTCCAGGCCCATTACCTGTCCATTTAATAAATGGGAGCTCCAAATAGTTCTATACTTTTGTAAAGAAAATCATGCTCAAGGCCTTCACTTCTTGCTGGTTATTACAGCTTTATGCCTTCAATTTCTGACTTTCTTGAGAATTTTTCCTTTGTCTGGGGTGGATGCCTCCTGTTAAACATCATACATTCAACCATTAAAGACTGTTACCAAAGATGTGGTCCAAGGCGTGTGGACTGGATCACTATTTTCAGTGTGCTTGTTTCATATAATAAAACTGAGGGCCACAGAGGCCCTTTTGGAGGGCCACATCACCCCACCTGTGTGCTCGTACCAACGTGTTTTTCCCCAAAACACAGTGATGTTTATCTTTCTTAAATTGCACCTGGTTTTGGCTCTTTTTTCTAGAAGGTAAAAACTACTGTGGATACTGATTTCATATTTCTCTCACCTTGCAAAAGTAAGCATGACGACCACACCTTTATCCAAATAATTAGTAAGAGAGTTGAAAAAGTTTAGTCTGAGCACCACACCTCCTTGAGACCTTCCTTCTAGCAGTCCTTCATGTAGCACAGGCTGAATAGTAAATCCAATCACTTTCCAGTGTACTGAGTTGTCTGGGATCAGCCTACATATTGGTTTTCTCTGTTTATAAGATATAGAAAAATCTCACCTGTTGCCTTACCATTTTGTTTTTACCAGGCAAAACCTGGGCCTTCACACCTCTTCTATTATCATCAAAAACTATACCCAATGCATACTATAAGCTCAATCTGTATATATGGTATGAATAAATTAATTTAATACACAAAATGGATAACAGACCTATGAGTTAACAACAAGGCCAAATGATAGCACACATTCTGGATCAGTTTTTCAGATGATATTGAGGTAGGACAGAAGAAACAAAGATAGGTAGAAAGAAGAGAAGAAAAATTATAACAGCTATATTTTTAAGAAGACTGGAACTCCAGGACACAAAGTTACACAGGGTTATCTATATCACTACTCCCTATGTGCTTATGTGTCTTTTCTTCTTGGTCAAACATACTTGAGATCCCTTGAAGATATTTTAAATCCATAAATTAGCTTGGTCGACAAAGGACAGAAATCTGTTCTTATGATAAAGGAACAGACTGAGACAGTTCAAAGAATGTCTTTAGGCAAACATCTTAGACCATGGCCCCTTCCCAAATTTGTGGTTCCTATGCCTTTCATCTGTAAAACTGGATATTATCCTTCTGTCCATCATTTTTCCTGACAAACAAGACCAAGGCACAACTTCCTGCAGATTCACAAATCCCACAGGTTTCCATTGCCAAAAACACAAATATTCCCAGCTTCAAATTGTAATGCTCCTCTGCCATTCTCTCTCTCTCTCTCTCTCTCTCTCTCTCTCTCTCTCTCTCTCTCTCCCTACTTTTAAATTTCTCCACATAAATCCTTTTATGCCTCTTTACTGATGTGTCCTGAAAATTCTATTTCTATGATAAGAATCAGTAAACCCGTAACCTCCCAGGGGGTGAGGTGGGTTCAGGGATTCCTCACCACCGCTTTGACAACCTCCAAGGATTCTGTCGTATCTGTGACCTTTCGTGTCTTCATCACAGCACTGCAGATTTAACCTGAATCCACATAACACAAGTTCTCCTCTTATATGCTTGACTTTTGTTAGTCACATCATTTTTACGTAATTCTTACAACTACCATTTTGTGATTTACCATTGATTTCTCCCTGTAATTCGTTTGGATCATCCTGTTTACCCCTGACTCATGTTCATTCCACTTCCT